AAACTGAGTCGTTACGCGAGATTGGCAAGCAGGTGGGGCTGTAAGGCGAGAGTAGATAAAGGGCAGATGGTCTGTGAGTTACTATTATTGCTTCCCGCGTCATGTCCGTCATGCGGCGTCCATGTTCAAGTCATGTCCGTCATGCGGCGTCGAGCACTTGCGCAAGGAGTGTCCGTACAGGGGCGTGTACTGTAGGAAGTGTGGGGTGAAAGGTCATCTAGCGGCTGTGTGCCAGGCAATACCGATTAGGGATGGATAAGCGATTCACTGCGTTCATCACTCCGAGCGGTCTGTTTGAATTCAACGTGCTACCGTTCGGGATAAAGAATTCTCCGACGGCGTTTCAGCGCGCAATGGATCACGTGTTCGGAGATCTTGTTGGCAAGAATGTGTTTTTATACATTGACGACGTGGTTATCTGTGGTGATACCAAGGAGGAGGTCCTAGCGCTTTTGGAGAAAGTCCTGCAGCGTACGATCACCTCTGGATTCTACCTTCGACTCGACAAGTCGGAGTGGATGAAGCCAACGGTCGACTATCTGGGTTATCAGGTAGGTCGAGACGGGATCAAGGTACGTAATAAGTCCGTAAAGAGTGTAACAGAGGCGGCCCCGCCGACGAATAAGGCTGAACTCCAGAGCTTTCTCGGTTTGATGGGCTACTTGCGTAGTTTCATACCGAGGTATGCGGAACATACAGCGAGGATGTGTGAGCTCCTGAAGAAGAACGCCCGGTACGAATGGACAGATCGACTGCAGCTAGACTTCGACGGTCTCAAGCGAGGAGTAGCGAATACCGCAACCTTACACGCGCCACGGCCAGGAAGTCCGTACGTAGTATACAGGGATGCCTCCGGAGTGGGCGTAGGAGCAGCGCTCATGCAGGAGCAAGACGGCCAAGAAGTGCCCCTGGAGTATGCAAGCCGTAAGTTGTCGGACACAGAACGAAGGTGGGATACCCGAGAGAGGGAGCTCTACGCCATCAAGTACGCGCTAGAGAAATGGCGAGACTACCTCGGCCTAGAGAAGTTTGTGGTACGGACGGATCACAACAACCTCAGATACCTAGCGACGGCCCACACGGGCAAGGCCCAGCGTTGGGCATTGTACCTAGTGCGATTTAACTTCGATATAGAGTTCCTACAGGGAAGTCAGAATAACGTTGCCGACTGGCTTTAGGTATGCCGCTCCA